CTAAAAGAGAGTGTTTGATTGACTCAACATCTTTCTCCTGTTCCAAGATTAAAAAATTCACTCAATATATAGATAAAAATGGCAACCCTCAAATGCTTACTATCTTTTTACAAATCATATCCACACACACACACACATGCACACACTTGCAGGCGTGCACATGTACAGTATCTAAAGACAATTCAGTACCAATGCATGTGCATCCAAATACAATCATGTGCTGGGCTAGTAAAAGAGAAAAATTTTGGTGCTTAGTTTTGTGCGGTCGAAAGGAAAATATAATTTCACTTATCTACTAGTATGGGATTTGTCATAAATCATATCTCAACGCAACTGCTAAAAGTCTAAGACTATGCTTCAGCCTTCAAATAAGACAAATAATTAAAAACTGAATAGAAAATATCACCTTATTTTAACCAAATTAAAAATGAATGCCATGGTTAAATTTAAGAAACAAAAAGCTAACATGATATTGAAATATTATCTTGCCTGCAGTTTAGTTTCCTGTAAGCACAATACATCAAAGTTTTCCCTTTTAGCAAGCTCAAGAACAGAGAACCCCTCTAATTTCAGCAGCGCTCTCAGCCCATTCACATTCCAAGACACTAGCTTCGTAAATTTAGCATCTCCCATAAGTGATGGAGGCCTCATGATTCGTGGATTATAGGCTATCCACCCTTTCTGTGGCTTCTTGTGGGCAAAAATTGTCCATGGTTCACTTTGACTCATTGGAACATTAACTCCATCATTAGTGTCTTTGACATCAATAACCAAAGATGCTTTCCTGATTGCTTGAGAAGGCTTCTTTTCTACCAACATTTACCAAAATAAGCCATCTTCATTTTATTATTAGAAAAATTAAACCCCTCAAAGTCTCAAACTGATAATCTCAATCACATTTCTAAGGGAAAGTAGAAAGTTCCTAAATGATTAGTGATAGCAAATGAGCATACTATTGCTGCAATAAAGACACTTAAGGCACCTGAAACATTACCCTTGATTGAAAGCTTCTTTCTTTTCATGACAATTTTAGCATCAAGTTCACCTGATAATGTCCTAGTCTTTCCTGTCACTGAGATGCTTTGAGCAGAAATGGAGGAAAGTTGTTCATGTCTCAGATGAGAACTTTCACCTACATGCTCAAGGCATATCCATTCTTAGGAAATGAACAACTTACAATTGAACTCAAACAGTTCTCAGGAACAAGAAAGAGAAGAAAGAAATCAGAAAACTGGTGGCAATCATTTTAATTATTAATGTTGATTTGCTTATATTTCTCCATCTTAGCAGCTAAGAGCCGGAGCTTAATAGAACACTGAAGGGGATGATTAAACTTGATCTCAAAATTAAATTTGCATACCATCTAATTGCTTATCCAAATAACTCTTCAAGGCAGATACAAGTTCACTCTTGCAACCTTAGGCAGGGAGGCCAGCATTCCTGAGAATTTAAAATCATAATATCAAAATCAAATTCATATGGACAAAAACAATCCTTGAGAGTATTTTATAGTGCAAAGCACTGCATGACAAACAAGTAACTAATCCAACTGGGTAAAGCAGTTACATGCATAATGTTTTACTGCACAGCTTCTTTGTGGTTTATTCTCTTTATCATCAATGGCCTTAAAGAATTTAGGCTATGTGCACGGTGTCCTACCAGTGTTCATGAAATGATACACTAAAGCTAAAAACTAACGATACGAGAACACAAACACCTAAAACAGAATCCATATATCTCTGTTTATGTTTATCCTCAAAATTTGTACATACCGCAATGCAGCCTTGAGTTGTTGAACTGTCATTGCATTGATTCTGCCAGGATCATTCATGATGTCCTGAATTTCACACGCACTACATTTAAACCACATTCTTATAAAAGCATAAAAGCAGAAAATTTTTGATATGGCAATTATAAGTGAGATCATCAACAACCTTAAAAACACCCTCTTTGGAATTTTGATTGGTACCCACCAAACCTTATTCTTTATTATCATTCTTGCCCTGCTCAAGCACTTTACCTTTCCCGCCATTCCCCTACAATCCACCAAAACCCTGAACAATTAAAACCACACACCATCCTAAAATCTACAAAGCATATAAAATCAACAGTGAGGTTAGTTGAAATAACCAAAGCAATCAACAACCTTAACTTCAGCCTCATCAGAATTTAAATCTGCAGTAGCTAATCCCTTGAGCTTCTTATCTGTCTTTCCCTCAACAGTAGATGAAGCCGACACGGATGAGTTTGAAAGGAGCCTCTTAGACCCCATTACTCCGACTGTCAAAGTGGAAAATGCCCTAGTTCTCAAACTCCTTGCTTTCACTGCAAAACTACACAGCATTTTTACTTTTAATCTCAATCTACTTACTTCAACAGCGGGAATTTCTAAAAAAAATAAATTGAAAAATTCGGGAAATTTCTATGAAATCTTTGTAGTAGGAAAACTATGTAAAGAAAAGAAAAGGGCAGAACCTGGTAAAATTGATGAAATTGTTGAACTCTACTTGAAATGTCGTACACATTTATCGAATCGATCCTGAAGCTCTAGAGAGGTATACCGCCATGGTTAGTGTTTCCAGCTGCCTCAGTGCCCTGCACATGGTTATTTGGGAAAGGGCATGTTTTTGGATAAAACTGAACTTATTATTATTATTATATTATTATTATTTTTTTTTATTATTATTTCTTAACCGAAATCATCTTACACAGGTTCAGCAAGCAAAGAAGTGAGGAAAGCCTTTTTTTTTTTTTTTTTAAGGGCTAACTTCCTATCTAAGATTTAAAGCATGTTTGGTTCCATTTTTTAGTGTTTTAATTTTCTGATACTATTTATATTTTATAAACTTAAATTATTTTAAAAAAACTTACATTTTAAAATTTTTTTAAACTTTAAAAAGATCATAAACAATAAAAATTCAAAAGTTTCAAACTTTTACTTTTAGTAAATTTCTTTTTTAGTCACTTTTTTTCTATATTTAAAATCAACTTTAAAATTTTTCCTCTAATAAAAATTTAAACTTATCACTCATGAACAGTATAAAAAAGTAAAAACTCTTACAAGTTAACCCAAACATACTCCTTTTATCTTCTTAGATTTATAAGTTTTAACTCATCATGTTATATTATAACACTTTTAACTCCTTACCTATTACAATTAAAGAAAATAATTCTCACTTATAACATTTTATTAATTTTGTTAACTGACTATTAACTAACTGTTAACTGATAAAAATCTATTTTCAGCTAATAGAGTTAACAGTTAGTTAATAGAGTTAACAATCAATTAACAAAACTAACGAAATATTATAAAATGAGAGTTATTTTTTTCAATTTTAATAAATGAGGGGTTAAAAATATTACAATATAAAGTGAAGGATTAAAATCTATAAATTTAATAAGATAAAAGGTTAAAAGTAGATTTTTGCCACCATCCAAAAGCAAAGACGTGAGGAAAGTTTTTTTTAAGGTTAAATGTTAATTTTGGTCCCTCAACTTTAAAGTTTTGCACAATTTTCATTTCTTAACTTTCTTTTTGTACTTTTTTGATCCCTTAACTATTGAAAGTGTATTTTTTTAATTTTTTTCAGTTAAGTCATTAAATCTATCTGAATTTGTACATTTTTAGTACCTCAATTTCTAATATATGAACATTTTTTGTCCTTCAACTTAAAATTAAGAGACTAAAAATGTGCAGATTTAGATAAATTTAATGGATTAATTAATAGAAGGACTAAAAAAGTACATTTTTCAAAGTTAAGGGACTAAAAAAGTGAAAGCAAAAGTTGAGGGATGAAAATTGTGTAAAATCTTAAGTTGAGGGATCAAAATTGACATTTAACCTTTTTTATTTAACCTTTTATCTGAAAGTTGTATTAAATTTTGATTAATTTAAAATCAAATCATATTAGACTCCATAAGAGAATTTTTTAGTACTTATTTCTTTATTTATAAAATTTGAACTTAAAATTTTATTTAAAGAACCAGAACTATTTTAATTCAAACCAACACATCTTTGATGAGGGAAGCATTTTATATTTAGAGAATTGAGGAATCAGTAGGCCTTCCTCAATCCCTCATAAATTATAATTAATTTTTATGTGTTACCGTTAAGGGAAAGGGAAAAATTGTAACATCATTACATTTAAAACGTTAGAATGTCTAATTACATATTTTTATTTTTCATTCTTCATCAAATAAATAAGTATATAAAAATTGAGGCTATATTTAAATATTGTACTTTTGTTGCAAGTGGATTCCTTGAAATAATCAACAAGGGGTGGATTATACACCAAACATTAAATTGCACAACTCATGAAGCAAAAATTTCCAATATTGCATGGTACACTCAAACCCAATCCATGTCACCAATAATATCTAGTCATGATCCTAGACAAGTATTGGTTAATTTTAATAAGTAAAACAATGCTATATATAATTTGACAAAAATAGATGTTGCAAAAAGTACCTTCGCTAAGATAATCATCAGTATCAAAATGTTCTACCTCATAGCTACAATTGTTGTCTACTAAGGCATTTCCTTACCTTTTTCAAATTTCTCGGAATCTCTTCAAATTATTTATCTGAGTCCATTGCAAATTTCACATTGTAGTTCATTGTAAGGCAACTAAGGTGAAGAGAGCCATGCTTTCAGACTTCAAACGCTTGGATGAAGAATGAAAAGGAAGTGTGTCATTCAAACCCATTGTGCCGTATCTTAATTATTTGGATCATATTGCTTGTGGGATCAGCAATGATATATCACAGCAAACACCAAGGTTGTCAATCTTGTAGTGGGATATATATTGGTTTTGTTATTAATATGTACATAAAATGTATCGAATTATACTAGATACCATTTTGAATTTATTATTATATATAAATAAAATATAAATATAAATTAAAGAAATAACTTTGTAGTGATTTTTTTCTTTAAAAAAATTAATAAATATAAAAAATATACATAATAACTTTAACAACTTGACTCTAAAATTGTGTTGAAACTTTTATTCTTTGATTGAAATATATGAGTTTTCTTAAATATTTTATAACAATATAAAATCCAATTCAAAAATCAATTGCAATTTTCACACCTGGTGCCCAATTTCTCATTTTGTTTTAATTATAAAAAAAAAAAAAATCTTATCCCCTAGTCTCTTTACTTTTTTTACCATAACCCACGTTCCTAGTTCTCACTCTTCTTTCATTTCTTCTTCCTATCCAATGACTCCAGTGACGTTATGGGCTCTGATGAAACTTTCTTTTTTCAAATCTGTCCTCTAATTTCCATTACATTCTAAATCTAAAGCAAAAAAATTTCTTTTTTCACCAACTTCTCAATTTCTACTTTCTTTTATTATTATTTTTTTCAAATTCTTTCTTCAAATCTAGGTTTTTGATCTAGATTCTAGAAACAAATAAAACACTTGAGTGGAAGAGGTAGAGGGAACTTCCTCAAAAACCAACCAATCTCTTCATAGGCGAATTTCTAAGGAGCGTGGATTCCATATCTGATTAGGTTTTTCTTTTTTTTTTTGTTTCTCTTGGTGTGAAAAATTCACATATCTGTTTTTTTTTTTTTATTGTTTAGCGTAAAAGTGGGTATAGACATGTCCCGATTGAAAATCTGTTACACAATATTCCAACCAGTACAACCATTTTCAACCGATATGGCCAAGATTTAAAGCGATACAATATTAGAAGATTTATGTATTGATTTTGTGTCAAAATCGATACATATGGATTTTACCAAGTGGTAGGCTATGAGATTAACAACCTTGGCAAACACTACCATGTAATGGATCATTGAAGGAAAATTGCACATGCTTACTTTAATTTGAAGGCGTCGGCAAATGTAAGCTACATTAGATAACTTAAATAAGTCAAAAGAGTCAAAAGAGTTTGGTATTAAACTATGCAATATTTATTTATGTGATGGTACATAATCTTTTAATGGTTATCTTTTAATGAAAGTATCTTTTATTAGTATTTTAACGTGTTATAAAAACCCTAAAATGGTGTAAAAAAATTGTTTTTGAGCTATTTTGGTGGTGCTGCCTTTCATTGTTATTTACCACGAGGAAATGCTGCATATTTTAAATATATAATGGATTATATATATTAATTTATTTAATATCTCATTATATTATATAATATACAATTTGACATAATATAGGAAGTGATTTAACTAATTAAGAGTATAAAATTTTAAATTAAAAATTTTATATTCAAATGTTAAGTTGGGTTGTGAAAGATTTGAAAGAAGAAGGACATATCAAGAGAATTTAAAACAAGGGGGAGTTGTATTAGTAATAAACCTCAACATTGAATCCATAAAATTCAATGAAAATAAATTTACATCAACCGATATAACTTATGGCAAATGAACATATAGACCATCCAACACTAACAGTAGTAACACACATACACTAGCAAATTATTTATTAAAAAAAACCCTAAGAAATTAATTACAATAAATGAAAGAGTACAATAGTCCACACAGCGTGCAGCTTAACTACATTCCTAATTTATAAAAAAAGGTGGTTCCATTCATTTTCAGGTTGAATGTAAATAGAAAACTTGATAACACATCCACATTTCTTCAAGTTCTTTATTAGACCTCACAACCTATCATATAATATTCCATTATGCCAGCCGCATCAACAAAAGCCAAAGCAAACAGATTCAAAAGTTTATCACAAAGAGTAGAACACAAGGATAAAAATTGTTTTTGTTGAGAGAGAAGGTAGACTAGAAAAGATAAATACAAATGAGACACACCTAGAACTATGATAAAAATCCAAGCATCTCAGCCTTTTATCCCATGTCCATGTCCAATTAAATCTCCCAAACTTATCATTGAATATGGCTTTGGCAATGGAGATGGTCGACCAGTTGTAAGAGCTTGATAAACCTGTTGCATAGTGGGGCGAAATTGAGGATTGGAATGCAAACATGTAAATGCTAGCTTTGTGCTAGCAACCACTTGCTCAGCCACCTTATTCCTCCTTTGAGGTTTAAGGCATTGGTCTATGACATCCTTCAGCAACATCTGCTGGCCATTTGGTGTACATAAATTTGAAATAAGATCACCTGGATGCCTTCCCATAATTATCTCCATTGTCACCACCCCAAAACTATAGACATCACATTTTTCACTTACTTGCATAGTGTAAGCAAGCTCTGCAGAAGCAAGTCTAATTAGTTATAAAACAATATAATAATTATTGGAGTTTATTAGAAGATATCAAATGAATGAAATACCTGGAGCTGTGTAGCCAAATGTGCCTGCAAAGGATGTCCAGTTAAAGGAATCTGGCTTCAAAATCCTAGCTGTGCCAAAGTCTGAGACATGAGCTTCATAATCCAAATCTAACAAAACATTGTTGCTAGAAATGTCACGATGGATTATAGGTGAAGGGCGATCATGGTGCATGTAAGATAAAGCACTTGCTAACCCTTTAACAATGTTCAATCTCTTATCCCAATCCAACTCTGCCGCTTCTTCTGGGTTGCTCAAAACTGTCCTCAAGCTCCCCCTTTCTACAAACTCATAGATCAAGAATGAATACTCTGCATTAGAACAAAAACCATACAACTTGACAATGTTACGATGTCGTATGTCCACTAAAGCACAAATCTCGCTTTCAAATGCTCGCAAATTGATGGATTGATTGTCATCTGATGGGTTGAGTTTCTTAACCGCAACAACTCGACCTGTTGGCAGCAGAGCTTTGTAAACATTTCCATATCCTCCTGAGCCAATGCAATAGTTGGAGTTGAATTGGTCTGTAGCTTCAAGAATGTTTTCATAGAGGATTTCCCCATCATATCCCCATATGGCAAATATATCCCGAAATTGGTGCTCTTTTATCTCAGATTTTTTGCGACGAATAAGAAGTAAACACCCCACCAAGATAAATAACAGAGATAGAACGCCCAAAGCTGGTGTAATGATTAAAATTACAAGTCCGCGGCTACTTTTCTTCTGGCTTTTGGATATACAATGCGGGAGAACAGTGATATTGCCGCAGAGGCCTTTATTGTTTCTAAGAGCATCAAATGGGGCATGAAGGAAACCTTTAGTGAGTGGGATAGGGCCCTCTAACTGATTATAAGAGATGTTAACACATGTTAAGCTCTTCAATCCATCAAAAGAAGGAGGAATGAAACTGAAAAGCATATTATGAGAAAGATTCAACATTTCCAACGCACGTGATCCTCCAAGCTCTTGTGGAATCTCTCCCGTTAATAAATTCCAACTCAAATCAAGAGTTTCAAGGGCAAATATTTTGCTCATTTCAGATGGAATACTTTCCTCAATTAGATTGTTGCTCAGGTTCAAGTGTAATAACCTGAAGCAATTCCCAAATTGTTCCGGAATGGATCCAACCAGATTGTTCTTTGCCAAGCTAAGTTGTTGCAGATAAACTAACTTTCCTATCTCTGATGGGATTTTGCCAAGGAGTTGGTTGTCATTTAGCAAGAGATAAACCAGGGTTGTCAACTTGCCTATTTCCTTAGGAATCTCCCCACTCAGCTGATTTGAAGAGAGGTCAAGCCGAGTCAATTGAGTGGCTAGAGCTAGCTCAGGAGGTATCCTACCAGATACCTTATTGTTGGAGATCTTCAAGCTTGTGAGGTTATGACATAGACCCCAATTTGGAGAGAGTTCACCGTACAACTTGTTATTACTCAAATCAATGTAACGCAGGTGAGGATATATGCCAAAAGCTTCTGTTATATTCCCTTCAAGTTGGTTCCCTTCAAGCCTTAACCTTTCTAAACTGGTACAGTTTCTTAAAGTTTTTGGGATTGGACCAGTGATATAGTTGTTTTCTGATGAAAAATGTTTGAGTAATCCCCCAATACATATATTGTCAGGTAGATAGCCAGTGAATCCATTATTACTCAATTTGATTTTTTCCAAAACAGTAAGGTTATTGATTTCTATAGGAATCGGACCAGAAAAATTGTTATTATTCAGTTGCAACAAGGATAAATTGGTTAGATTTCCTATGGAAGTAGGGACAGAACCAGAAAAATTGTTATTAAACAGTGAAAGGAAGGATAAATTGGTTAGATTTCCTATGGAAGCTGGGATTGAACCAGAGAAATTGTTATCATTCAAAGAAAGATTAGTGAGAGAATTGAGAAATCCTACATCTGATGGTATTGAACCACTAAGTTGGTTCCCCGCAAGGTTGAGTATGGCAAGCGAACTCAATCTTCCTATATCCGTGGGAATACTTCCAGAAAATTTATCGTTAGTCGACAAATTGAAAAAAGTGAGTTTGGACAGGTTAACGATTTCACAAGGAATGGCCCCATAAAGTGAATTATTACCAAGATCAAAGTAAATTAGGTTGGGGAAGGCCAAGAAGTTAAGCCTGTCAAGTGTACCTTTGAGACCAAAATTTGGAAGGCTTATGTTGGTGACGCTTCCAACTCTATCACAACCAATTCCAACCCAATTGCAGGGGTTATCCCCAACCCAGGGAGACAGGAAGCTCTGGCTTCGGTTGTCAAGACTGGCTTTCCATTTGAGAAGAGTCTCTGTTTGATTAAGTAAAGAAGTGGTGGAAGCAGAAGTAGAAACAAGGAAAGCTGAGTGAAGTAGCAGGAGGAAGAACAAGGGTGATGCCATGATATCAGTGATTTAGAATGCCTTGGGGGTACAATGCATGCTCTTGCATTGACAGATATTTATACACATAAACGAGTTACATGTTTTGGTGGCAAGGTGCATGTGTTTGGGCTTAAATATGTTATTTAAGGACCGGGTGATCATGGGATGGGTACGGCAGGTGATGGGCGGTGGTGTAGGGGAGGCCGGTGACGGAGAGGAAGGAACAGGGGACGGGGAGGGGGAAGGTGATTCCGTGACAGGAGAAGAGGGAGAGTTACCTGAGTAGGAGTGATGCCGAACCAGATCTGGGCCGCAAGCAGAGGGGAGCGAGACGTCCTGCGAAGACGAGATGGCAGAGGCCGGCAGAGGGGAGGCGACAGCAGCTGATGGCAGGGATGCTGGCAAGGCCGGAAGGGGAGCAGAGGAGGGATCAGTGATCGGTGCCGGTGATGAGGAGGCTGGGGAGAGGGAGGGCTGAGGATGGATTAAAAAGGAAGAAATCGGGACTGGAGTATGGGTGGGATCTGGAAAAGATTGAGTTTGGGTGGTTGAGTGGGTATTAGAGTCCCGAAAAGGGGAGTGATCCTCTTGGAAGATAACATGCCTTGAAATGAATATTTTATTCTTTTGGAATCAAAACATTTATAGCTTAGGTGATCAATGGAGTAGCCAAGGAAAATACATTGACGGGTTCTTGCTTGGAGTTTATTTTGGGTATATTGACACAGTCAAGGATGGCAGCCACACCCAAAAATTTTGAATTTTAAATAGGTTAAACCCCCATTTTGATCCCTCAACTATCGTACGGACCTCTGACTTAGTCCCTCAACTCAAAAAATCCCTGATTTGGTCCCTACTGTTTACCATTTTGACCCCGATTTAGTCCTCCGTTAAAAATCCGTTAAAAATCTAGTGACGTGTCCTTATTAACAAAAGCACGATGACATGTCAACAATAAAATGACACCTCAAACGCACAACTAGAAAAAAAGATGACATGGCAGTATGACCCATTCTGCCCCAAAACCAAACAAGAAAAAAAGTGCGTCCCACCTCCTGCAAAACCTGAACCCTTCTTCCCCTTTCTTCCCTAAACCCATTCGAGCCTTCTTCATCATCATCAACCAACCAAATCCACAGAAAAAAAAAAAAAAGAGAATTTTTCTCCTGGGTTCGTTCGAAACCCAGAGCCGAACC